CTAACCCTCAAGGGGTGTACAATCTAAGGTCCCTAACCCTCAAGGGGCGTACAATCTAAGGTCACTAACTCTCAAAGGGCATGCAATCTAAAGTCCCTCATAGGGTGTACAATCTAAGGTCCCTAACCCTCAAAGGGCGTAAAATCTACGGTTCCAAACCCTCAAGGGGCGTACAATCTAAGGTCCCTAACCCTCAAGGGGCGTACAATCTAAGGTCCCTAACCCTAAGGGGCGTACAATCTAAGGTCCCTAACTCACATTCATACATACACATACTAGAGCCAATTTAGACAGGAGCCAATTCACCTACCAGCATGTCTTTGGAGTGTGGGAGGAAACTGGAGTACCTGGAGGAAACCCACTCAGGCACAGGGAGAACATGCAAACTCCAGGCAGCTGGTGCCATGCTTAGGATTTGAACCAGGAACCCTAATACTGCCAGGCAGAAGTGCTAACCATTTAGCCACGGTGCTGCCCTTAAAATTATTTTTTAAACACATTTTTAAAACACAAAAAAACTGCTCTGGCAGCAAAAGGGTCAAATTGCAAAAAAGAAAAGAAAAAGAAAAAACCCAGTGGCTATTAAAAAAAAAAAAAAGAATAAAAGCTTATTACAAAAAAAAAAAAAAGATATAAAATTAATTTGCATGGAAGAATAATTGTTAGTCAAACTATCGCAGAACTAAAAAATGACCTGGTAATGAAGTTGTATTAGAGGCCAGTACCCGAGTGGTCATTATTTTTTTTTTAATTAATTTGCTGAAGGAAAAAAAAAAAAAAAGATATAAAATGAATTTGGGTACAGTGTTACATGGCAGAATAATTATTATTCAAACTATCGCAGAACTGAAAAATGACCTGGTAATGAAGTTGTATTAGAGGCCGGTACCCAAGTGGTATTATTTTTTTTTTTTTTATTAATTTGATGAAGAAAAAAAAAAAAGATATAAAATGAATTTGGGTACAGTGTTACATGGCAGAGTAATTGTTAGTCAAACTATCGCAGAACTGAAAAATGACCTGGTAATGAAGTCGTATTGGAGGCCGGTACCCAAGTGGTCATTATTTTTTTTTTTTAATTTGCTGAAAAAATAAATAAATAAAATACATAATGGAGAAATGACAATGTATCAATATACCTCCTAAAATGATTTTTTTTTAAAATTTTATTTCTTTTATTTTCAAGTAGAGAATACATAACCTAACAAAGAAGAACATAAATAAATAAATAAATAAATAAAAAGTGGAGAAATTACAAAGTATCAATATACCCCCTAAAAATATTTTTTTTAATTTTTATTTCTTTTATTTTCAAGTAGAGAATACATAACCTAACAAAGAAGAACATAAATAAATAAATAAATAAAAAAAAAGTGGAGAAATTACAAAGTATCAATATACCCCCTAAAAATATTTTTTTTTAATTTTTATTTCTTTTATTTTCAAGTACAGAATACATAACCTAACAAAGAAGAACATAAATAAATAAATAAAAAGTGGAGAAATTACAGGGCATCAATATACCCCCTAAAATGATTTTTTAAAACTTTATTTCTTTTATTTTCAAGTAGAAAATACATAACTTATCAAAAAAAACCATGAATTTTAAAAGAATGTGGAGAAATGACAATGTATCAATATACCGACTAAAATGATTTTTTTTTTAAATTTTATTTCTCTTTTATTTTCAAGTAGAGAATACATAACCTAACAAAGAAGAACATATATAAAATAAATAAATAAAAAGTGGAGAAATTACAAGGTATCAATATACCCCCTAAAAATATTTTTTAAAACTTTATTTCTTTTATTTTCAAGTAGAGAATACATAACCTAACAAAGAAGAACATATATAAATAAATAAATAAATAAATAAATAAAAAGTGGAGAAATTACAAGGTATCAATATACCCCCTAAAAATATTTTTTAAAACTTTATTTCTTTTATTTTCAAGTAGAGAATACATAACCTAACAAAGAAGAACATAAAATAAATTAATAAATAAATAAAAAGTGGAGAAATTACAAGGTATCAATATACCCCCTAAAATGATTTTTTTAAATTTTATTTCTTTTATTTTCAAGTAGAAAATACATAACTTATCAAAAAAAAACCATGAATTTTAAAAAGAATGTGGAGAAATGACAATGTATCAATATACTTCCTAAAATGAATTTTTTTTTAAATTTTATTTCTTTTATTTTCAAGTAGAGAATACATAACCTAACAAAGAAGAACATATATAAATAAATAAATAAATAAATAAAAAGTGGGAAATTACAAGGTATCAATATACCCCCTAAAAATATTTTTTAAAACTTTATTTCTTTTATTTTCAAGTAGAGAATACATAACCTAACAAAGAAGAACATAAATAAATAAATAAATAAATAAAAAGTGGAGAAATTACAAGGTATCAATATACCCCCTAAAAATATTTTTTTATTTTTATTTCTTTTATTTTCAAGTACAGAATACATAACCTAACAAAGAAGAACATATATAAATAAATAAATAAATAAATAAATAAATAAATAAAAAGTGGAGAAATTACAAAGTATCAATATACCCCCTAAAAATATTTTTTTTAAATTTAATTTCTTTTATTTTCAAGTACAGAATACATAACCTAACAAAGAAGAACATAAATAAATAAATAAAAAGTGGAGAAATTACAAGGCATCAATATACCCCCTAAAATGATTTTTTAAAACTTTATTTCTTTTATTTTCAAGTAGAAAAATACATAACTTATCAAAAAAAAAACCATGAATTTTAAAAGAATGTGGAGAAATGACAATGTATCAATATACCTCCTAAAATGATTTTTTTTTTAAATTTTATTTCTTTTATTTTCAAGTAGAGAATACATAACCTAACAAAGTAGAACATATATAAATAAATAAATAAATAAATAAATAAATAAATAAAAAGTGGAGAAATTGCAAGGTATCAATATACCCCCTAAAAATATTTTTTAAAACTTTATTTCTTTTATTTTCAAGTAGAGAATACATAACCTAACAAAGAAGAACATAAATAAATAAACAAATAAATAAATAAATAAATAAAAAGTGGAGAAATTACAAGGTATCAATATACCCCCTAAAATGATTTTTTTTAATTTTATTTCTTTGATTTTCAAGTAGATAATACATAACCTAACAAAGAAGAACATAAATAAATAAATCAATCAATCAATCAATCAATAAATAAAAAGTGGAAAAATTACAAGGTATCAATATACCCCCTAAAATTATTTTTTAAAAAACTTTATTTCTTTTATTTTCAAGTAGAAAATACATAACCTATCAAAGAAAAACATGAATTGTAAAAGAATGTGGAGAAATGACAAGGTATCAATACATCTCCTAAAATGTATTTTTTTTTTTTCCTTTTTTCTTTTTTTTTTCCAAATAGAATATACATAACCTAGAAGAAAAAAAAAAACGTGGAGAAATGACAAGTTATCAATAAACCTTCTAAAATGATTTAAATTTTTAATGATCATTATTTTTTTTTTTTTTTCCATTAATTTGATGAAGAAAAAAAAAACATGTTTTCGTAACATTTGAGCTTTTACAAAGGAAACATTTTTTATTTATTTATTTTTTTTTTTTTTAAATAAAGCTTTTCTTCTGTTAAAAGCATCCAGTTATTTTCATCTCTCCAACAAAAGATGTAATAAATTCACGCTTTATTTGTCTTTCCACCTAAGAGATAATGAGCGATTATACGTATTAATCAACGTCTCCAGGATGAGGCGATCCTCTGATTAGCGTCGTAATAATAATAATAATAATAATATAGGGGGAGCCGGTTCGCTGGTGTCAGTGCTGTGGGGTTTGTTAGAAGCCGATGTTTATTATATTTAATGTGTATGTGTTGCACCAGATAATGAACGCATGTCACACCGCCGAGCATGATGTTCAAAGCCCCTGCGAACGTAAACCCGTTTTTGACACCATGTCAGCCCGGGGAAAGTGGAGGAGAGGTGTATGCAGGAAACAATGTGATAGTTCAAGTGATAACAAGCTACATTATTTTCATCCGAGATATTTGCTGGGTAGTCGGATTATCAGCCTACAGCACCGACATCCAGAAAGAAAAAAAAAAAAAAAAGAAAAAAAAAAAAAAAAAAAAGAAAGACAGAAAAAAAAAAAAAAAAAAAAAAAAAAAACCATTGCTACAAAATTACCTATAGAAACCCGACTGCGGACCGATCCGAGGATTTTTTTTTTTTTTTTTTTTTTACGCTGATAAATAAGAGTTTTTGAGTTTTGCAGTCGGATGATTGGTGGGGGGAGGGGCGGATCCTACGTTCACCTCTAATTATAGGAGACCTGTCACAAATTGGACGGTTCACCCTGAGCAAGCCTTCTTATTGGTAGGGACGGGTCTGTCATTTTTTATTTTTTTTTTTCAATGTTGTCCTTGAAGCCGAATGAAAAGATCCTTTCCCCGCTGTGTGATCATTTGTTACTTTTCTTTTTCCTTTGCATGGATACGTGTCCCCGATGGCGGGGCCCCGGCTCTCCCCGACGTCTTTTGTTGCCAGTTGCCTATTATTCCTAATTGGAAATGAAGTGTAAGGCTGATAATGATCGGGTCGGGTCTGGCCTGGTCCGGTCTGGGGGTGCAGTAAACAAGAAAGTCGGGGGGTGCGATGTCAGCAATGTGTGTCACTGACAGTCTGTCACATGGTGTCACTACCTGGGGAACACTGCTATGTATTAGGCTGTCATTAGATCGGGGTGATTAAATAGAACCTGTGCCCCCTTATATCAGATGTCCTTATCAGAGTCCCCCTTAACATCAGGAGTCCTCATCAAAGCCCCTCTTTATATTGGGTTCCCATAAACTTGTCCCCTTACATCAGGGTCCTCATCAGAGTACCCCCTTACATCAGCGTCCCCATAATAGTCACCCTTACAAATGACCAGTTACCCCCATCAGAGTGCCCCCTTACATCAATCATTCCTATCAGAGTACCCCCTAACATCAGGTATCCCCATCAGAGTACCCCCTTACATCAAGGTACCCATCAGAGTCCCACCTTCCAACAGGTGTCCCCATCAGAGTGCCCCCTTACATCAGTTGTCCCCATCTGGGTACCCCCTTACTTCAGGTGTCCCTTTCAGCATGCCCCCTTTCATCAGGTGTCCCCATCAGAGTGTGCCCTTACATCAGGTAATCTCATTAGAAGTGTTCCCTTATATCAGTGTCCCTATCCAAGGCCCCCCTCCTTACATTAGAGTCCCCATTAGAATCCCCCTTACATACGACCAGTTATTCCCATCAGAGTGCCCCCTTACATCAGTTGTCCGCATCTGAGTACCCCCTTCTATCAGACGTCCCCATCACAGTACCCCTTACATCAGGTGTGCCCATCAGAGTACTCCATTACATCAGATGTCCCCATCAGAGTGGCCCCTTACATCTGGTGTCCCCATCAGCGTGCCCCTTACATCAGTGTCCCCATCAGATGTCCCCATCAGAGTGCCCCCTTACATCAGATGTCCCCATCAGAGTACCCCTTACAACATGTGTCCCCATCAAAATGCCCCCTTACATTAGATGTCCCCATCAGAGTACTCTCCCTTACATCATCAGATGATCAGCGTCCCCATTATCAGAGTGGCCCTCAGCGTACATCAGATGTCCCCATCAGAGTGCCCCCTTACAACAGATGTGTCCCCATCAGAGTGCCCCCTTACATCAGATGTCCCCATCAGAGTGCCCCATACATCAGAGTCCCCATCAGAGTGCCCCCTTACATCAGATGTCCCCATCAGAGTGCCCCTTACATCAGATGTCCCCATCAGAGTGCCCCCTTACATCTGTTGTCTCCCATCAGAGTACCCCTTACATCAGATGTCCCCATCAGAGTGCCCCCTTACATCAGGTGTCCCCATCAGAGTACCCCCTTACATCAGATGTCCCCATCAGAGTGCCCCCATTACATCTGTTGTCCCCATCAGAGTACCCCTTACATCAGATGTCCCCATCAGAGTACCCCTTACATCAGGTGTCCCCATCAGAGTACCCCCTTACATCAGATGTCCCCATCAGAGTACCCCCTTACAACATGTGTCCCCATCAAAATGCCCCCTTACATTAGATGTCCCCATCAGAGTGGCCCTTACATCAGATGTCCCCATCAGAGTGCCCCCTTACATCAGATGTCCCCATCAGAGTGCCCCCCCCCTTACATCAGATGTCCCCATCAGAGTGCCCCTTACAACAGATGTCCCCATAAGAGTGCCCCCTTACATCAGATGTCCCCATCAGAGTGCCCCTTACATCAGATGTCCCCATCAGAGTGCCCCCTTACATCTGTTGTCTCCATCAGAGTACCCCTTACATCAGATGTCCCCATCAGAGTGCCCCCTTACATCAGGTGTCCCCATCAGAGTACTCCCTTACATCAGATGTCCCCATCAGAGTGCCCCCTTACATCTGTTGTCTCCATCAGAGTACCCCTTACATCAGATGTCCCCATCAGAGTACTCCCTTACATCAGGTGTCCCCATCAGAGTACCCCCTTACAACATGTGTCCCCATCAAAATGCCCCCTTACAACATGTGTCCCCATCAGAGTGCCCCCTTACATCAGATGTCCCCATCAGAGTGCCCCATTACATCAGATGTCCCCATCAGAGTGCCCCTTACATCAGATGTCCCCATCAGAGTGCCCCTTACATCAGATGTCCCCATCAGAGTGCCCCTTACATCAGATGTCCCCATCAGAGTGCCCCTTACATCAGATGTCCCCATCAGAGTGCCCCCTTACATCTGTTGTCTCCATCAGAGTACCCCTTACATCAGATGTCCCCATCAGAGTGCCCCCTTACATCAGATGTCCCCATCAGAGTGCCCCCTTACATCAGATGTCCCCATCAGAGTGCCCCCTTACATCAGATGTCCCCATCAGAGTGCCCCCTTACATCAGATGTCCCCATCAGAGTGCCCCCTTACATCAGATCTCCCCATCAGAGTGCCCCCTTACATCTGTTGTCTCCATCAGAGTACCCCTTACATCAGATGTCCCCATCAGAGTGCCCCCTTACATCAACTGTCTGCATCAGACTGGCTCATGCTCTCTCAGAGAACTGGGCGGGGAACAGCTAAAATCTGTGGGGGGCACAGACCACCCCAGCACTCACCTAGATCCGGCCTTGATGATGAATGATGATGTTATCCACGATTTCCCACATTGCCTCCTGAGTTGGGGTGTCGATAAGCCCTCAGGGTTGGGGTTTCGGGACGGGTAGAGTTCAGGTTATGATTGCAGGAAGATTAGGTTTAGGGTTACTCAGAGGACTCTGATGGGGGTTATTGTTAGGATTATGGGTAGAATTACCCCCCAGGGGCCACTTGCCTTCCAACAATCGTTCTCCTGGTTCCTTCGACTTTTCAATGCGATTTTGATTTCCGTGTTGGGCAGTATGTGGCCTACAGGGTCTCCCTTTGAGCAAATTTCAGCCGGTCCCTCGAAAATCTTTGGGAATTTGTATGACCATATACTGAGAGATAGACGGATCTCCCACAGTGTCTATTGTATGCTGGCCGCTGGTCCCCCGGCTGTCAAAACACCCCAACAGCAACTGCTTCTGGCTGGAAGCAGCCACTTCTCAGCCCACAATTTTCCATCTTTATCAATTTTCAATCACGGGATGTCGGGTGGGAGGCGGCTGACAGGGACAAACACTGTCTGCCAAATCTCTGCCAGTTCCTCAGGGGCCATCCGAAATTTGTACAATGTATGACCAATCTGAAACTAACCATACACTGCCTGCAGAGTGAACGAAAAATGACTGATCCCTCCACCTATGCTATACAGCAGGGGTCTCCAAACTACGGCCCGCGGGCCCCTTGCGTGGCTTCATCTGGCCCTTGGAACACTATTTCTCCTACTGATATACATAGTTACATAGTTAGTTTGGCTGAAAAAAGACAAAAGTCCATCCAGTTCAACCATTAAAAAAAAAAGTTACAATCCTACACCCACAGTTGATCCAGAGGAAGGCAAAAAAACCCAGCAAAGCACGATCCAATTTTCTCCTGCAGGGAAAACATTCCTTCCTGATCCCCCGAGAGGCAATCAGGATATTCCCTGGATCAACTTTCCCTATAAATGTTATATCCAGTTATATTCTGTGTATCCAAGAAAGAATCCAGGACTTTCCTACAGCAATCTACTGAGCTGGCCACAACCAACTCTGGAGGGAGTCTATTCCACATTCTCACAGCTCTTACTGTGAAGAAACCTTTCCTAGTTTGGAGATTAAATGTCTTTTCCTCCAGACATGAAAAGCGCCCCCTTGTCCTCTGTGATGTCTCAGGGGGAATAACTACACCGAGTTCACTATATGAACCACTGATGTATTATACACTGCAGATTCATATCCCCCCGATGTATTTATACATGGAGATCATACCCCCCTTATGTATTATACATGGAGATCATATCCCCCTTATGTATTATTGGAGATCATATCCCCCCTTATGTATTATACATGGTGATCATATCCCCCCTTATGTATTATACATGGAGATCATATCCCCCTCTTATGTATTATACATGGAGATCCACATCCCCCTTATGTATTAAACATGGAGATCATATCCCCCCCTTATGTATATACATGCAGATCATATCCCCCCGATGTATTTATACATGGAGATCATATCCCCCCTTATGTATTTTATACATGCAGATCATATCCCCCCGATGTATTTATACATGGAGATCATATCCCCCCTTATGTATTATACATGGAGATCATATCCCCCTTATGTATTATACATGGAGATCACATCCCCCTTATGTATTATACATGGAGATCATATCCCCCCTTATATATTATACATGGAGATCATACCCCCCTTATGTATTATACATGGAGATCATATCCCCCTTATGTATTATTATACCCCCCCTTATGTATGTATATATCATGGAGATCATATCCCCCCTTATGTATTAAACATGGAGATCATATCCCCCCTTATGTATTATACATGGAGATCATATCCCCCCTTATGTATTATACATGGAGATCATATCCCCCCTTATGTATTAAACATGGAGATCATATCCCCCCCCTTATGTATTATACATGGAGATCATATCCCCCCTTATGTATTAAACATGGAGATCATATCCCCCCCTTATGTATTATACATGGAGATCATATCCCCCCTTATGTATTATACATGGTGACATATCTCCCCTTATGTATTATACATGAGATCATATCCCCCCTTATGTATTATACATGGAGATCATATCCCCCCTTATGTATTATACATGGAGATCATATCCCCCCTTATGTATTATACATGGAGATCATATCCCCCCTTATGTATTATACATGGAGATCATACCCCCTTATGTATTATACATGGAGATCATATCCCCCCCTTATGTATTATACATGGAGATCATATCCCCCTTATGTATTAAACATGGAGATTATATCCCCCCCTTATGTATTATACATGGAGATCATATCCCCCCCTTATGTATTATACATGGAGATCAATATCCCCCCCTTATGTATTATACATGGAGATCATATCCCCCCTTATGTATTATACATGGAGATCATACCCCCCTTATGCATTATACATGGAGATCATATCCCCCCTTATGTATTATACATGGAGATCATATCCCCCCCTTATGTATTATACATGGAGATCATATCCCCCCTTATGTATTATACATGGAGATCATATCCCCCCTTATGTATTATACATGGAGATCATATCCCCCCCTTATGTATTATACATGGTGATCATATCCCCCTTATGTATTATATACATGGAGATCATATCCCCCTTATGTATTATACATGGAGATCATATCCCCCTTATGCATTATACATGGAGATCATATCCCCCCTTATGTATTATACATGGAGATCATATCCCCCCTTATGTATTATACATGGAGATCATATCCCCCCTTATGTATTATACATGGAGATTATATCCCCCTTATGTATTATACATGGAGATCATATCCCCCCCTTATGTATTATACATGGAGATCATATCCCCCCCTTATGTATTATACATGGTGATCAAATCCCCCCTTATGTATTATACATGGAGATCATATCCCCCCCCCTTATGTATTATACATGGTGATCATATCCCTCCTTATGTATTATACATGGAGATCATATCCCCCCCCTTATGTATTATACATGGAGATCATATCCCCCCTTATGTATTATACATGGAGATCAATATCCCCCCTTATGTATTATACATGGAGATCATATCCCCCCTTATGTATTATACATGGAGATCATATCCCCCCTTATGTATTATACATGGAGATCATATCCCCCCTTATGTATTATACATGGAGATCATATCCCCCTTATGTATTATACATGGAGATCATATCCCCCCTTATGTATTATACATGGAGATCATATTCCCCCCCCCCTTATGTATTATACATGGAGATCATATCCCCCTCCTTATGTATTATACATGGAGATCATATCCCCCCCTTATGCATTATACATGGTAGATCATATCCCCCCTTATGTATTATACATGGAGATCATATCCCCCCTTATGTATATACATGGAGATCATATCCCCCCTTATGTATTATACATGGAGATCATATCCCCCCTTATGTATTATACATGGAGATCATATCCTCCCCTATGTATTATACATGGAGATCATATCCCCCACCTTATGTATTATACATGGAGATCATATCCCCCCTTATGTATTATACATGGAGATCATATCCCCCCCTTATGTATTATACATGGAGATCATATCCCCCCTTATGTAATTATACATGGAGATCATATCCCCCCCTTATGTATTATACATGGAGATCATATCCTCCCCTTATGTATTATACATGGTGATCATATCCCCCCCTTATGTATTATACATGGAGATCATACCCCCCTTATGTATTATACATGGAGATCATATCCCCCCTTATGT